TACCAATAACCTCATTTGGGCCTTTATCCTGGACTCTCCAAATGGGCTTCGCTCTTTGGGCTATTCAATTTGGGTTGTACTTTTAGTGTGTCAACACTATCTATCGTGTTTCATCTCTATTTCCGTACCAATAAAAATTGTATTACATCTTTGGATAATGTATTTTTTTTCCAATTTTGTATCTATCCCTAGTCTTTGATTTCTTTATGAAATGGACTCCGTGGAGAAAAAAGTAGGTCGAATTACAAAATGAATAGTGGATTAATACATTTAATCTCATTGATATTAGAGTAAAGTGGCATGTGGTGACTGGTTAGCTCAGAGGTTTTCACATGCCATCTCTCATTTCCATGTGTATTGAGATTTTTAAGAGAATCAGTGGCAGATGAAGACCACCTGATAGCTGTTCAGGAAGCACAAATAAAAACCCTATTTTATTAATTTATTTATTTTCAAAAAAGTGGAGGCTTGGGAATGGTGAATCTTTGAAGATAAAATAGCAGAAAATTTTCTTGTTTCTTTAACTTGTAACTTTTTGGCAATACTAAACCTGTTTCCAACATTTTGTTGCACATTTTCACATCGTACCTTTTTCCTTCTGATGAATTTAGGCTAGAAATGCATTTCGATTAGGGTCTGAACTTTTCGATTCTACTCTTTTTCATTTCAAAAGCCATTTTAGATTGAAAAGGCTCAAACTGCAATTCTATATTCTTGATCTTCACTAGCTTTAGGTTTATCTTTTTGATTTCCCTTTTAGCCACCAAACTTTCTAGAAGTTTAATAATTTGCTTTTACAATTTGTCTACTGAGTGCGTCAATAAACAATTATTGCTAGTGGCTTTGCATTTTCCTTTTTTTTCCAACAGTCCAGTCCTCCCCAAGAACCCTAGTTTGTCTTTCAGATCAAATGGCCTATTTTCTGTGTTTTTTCCAGGGCTTAAAACCCTGGATTGCAGTGTTCTCGAGTTTTCCGGGCCATGGAGTTTTATGGATTTCCATCACAACTTTTGTTTTGATCTGCTTGACAACTCTTATTTTCACTTCCCGGAAACAAAAACCAAGCTTGCTGGTGCAAGAAAAATCTTCAACCATTTCATCAGAATGTTCAGCTGATGTTGTTGAAGTTGAATCAGTGGAAGCAGAAGATCCGATCATACAAATTAACAAAGAAAGTGATGACGAAGAGCCTGATGATCATGAAGAATATTTGGTTAGATCATCACAAGATCTATATTCAGAAAGTGACATTGCAAGTATGGATCAGTACTCAACTTCGAGTGAAGATTCTGATCAAACAAATTACTCGAGACAGAAACGACCGGATTGCTCGGACGATTCTATGTCAGACGAAGAAGGTCTGATTGAAATAGCCATACCAAGTGGGCAATATCTTTCTCCAGAAAAAGATATGAAGAAGAAAAAGTTAACAGATTTCTCTCAAGAAGCCAAGTTTCAGAGTATTCCATTGGAATTCTTAGCAGAAATCAATGAAATGAATGAGGAAGATAACTTGATTGAGATTGACATTTACATGGGATCCATCAAGTGTTCAAAGTTTGGAATTTAAGCCTAAAAAAAAAGTGAAATAAAAACAGCTAATAATGTATTTTTTTTTTCCTTCAATATCAAGGTTTTTTTATCCTTATGGGATTTATATTATGAAACTTATTTGTAATTTTCTCTCTACTTTTTATCAATTACTAGACTTTGGATACCCATAAAAAGTGACTACAATATGGCCCCTCTTAATTAATGCTCATTACACTAATGAAACTTTGGGAGGGTGCCATGCCATGATTAACAAAAGGAATCCCACTTGTATGTTTTGTTTTTGTCCTCCTTTTTGCAGCTACATTCAAGGTTGTGGATTTAAATGTGATTTGATACCATTACATATCAAGCATATATCATAATTTAGGTGTCAAAATGGGTATTCTGACCAACCGAAGTCCATGTAGATCAAGTGGCAAGCGTTAACTAGTCCCTCTCAAATATAACAGGACACTCTTCCAAATTTGTGAATTGGATCGGCCCAAAGAACTTATATTGTGCACTTGCCCAATTTGCCCATGATTTTTATTAGAGTAATGTTATTTAGTACCATTGATATTAAAACATCAGTTTAGGTGACACTAATATGATATCAAATGAGGTGTACAATTAAATGCCTCACTTAATTGCATTTCTCATTGAATTTGTCATATCACGCCACATAGACTAATGTTGTAACACCGCTGGTACTAGATAATATTATTCTTTTTATTTTCATTACATTTTCTTGAAAATGTAATACAATTTATAATTAATTTATATAATTGGAAAAAAAATAAATATTCTCATCGATACTTTTGCAAATCAAAATAGTACAAATTATTAATAAATCAAGCTGTCTGTGTTGGTCATTGTAGGGTCGACCCAACGCAGCATGACTTGCTATAATTGACAGATCAACCTGTGAACCAGCCCGAAATGGAATAAGTTGGTTTCAATCTTAACACTCTAGGCCTGTGTGTGTGTGTGTGAACATGGGCAAATAGAATACTAAGTAGGGAAAAAATCATACCTCAGGCCTTAAATTGAGGCCAATTTAATTTTAAGATAACAAGCTTACATTTCCAAAACTCAAATGTTCATATTTAAGATAATTAATTTATTTTTATATATATTAAAATAATATCAATTCCTCTCTAGTTCAGGCCACAATCGCCAACATCCACCCGCCGCTCTCCTCTCTTATGGTCACGAGTATCCACCCACTGTCAATGTCCATTCTCACAGTCACTAGCATTCAAATAACTTTGTCGGAGGAAAGATAGAATCTATAGAAATCATCGAAGACGAAGCATCTTCTTCAGTGGTGAACTAATAGCCACTGAGCATCATTGGTTCAGATAGTAAAGAGGGGGGGGGGCGGGGGGGGGGNGGGGGGGGGGGAACATTACAGCCATTGAAGAACATCAATTGAGCATTGTCGGAGACTGATCATCGTCTTCTACAACGACTGAGAAGCACTGATGTAATTTAAATCTATTTTTTAAAATTGAAAATATCCGTTGGTGCACTTTACAGAGTATTCACCGAATCAAATAATTTCAATTCTCACATTCGAAACTTGGTTAATTGAATTTGTGACAAGTTCGAAGAAATCAAGGGCATGCGACCAGTTCTCTTGAATTTACATTGATATGTTGCCTATGATATTGTTCCAAGCATGTGACCAATTCTCTTGATTATGTGACCTGTAGCATTGATTTGTTACCGATGAAGGTGACCTGTGAACTAGAAACTGTAACTAATTAATATTAACATGTAAACTAACCAATGACGTGAATATCTGTGACATGTACAGTATAACCCGTAATCTGTGAATGGTGATCTATGACCTATGAACTATAATTGTGACCTACGAGCTATAACATGGTATCCGTGAACATATATGACCTATACAATATAACATCTGACCAATTAATAATGACCAATGAACTATACCTGTAAACATCTATGACCTATATAATATGACGTGTGAATTGTGATCTATGACCTATGAACTATAACCCTTGACCAATTTATATTAACCTATGAACATAAATCAGTCATATGTGACTAATTCTATTTGATCACATGTGAGCATTGATATGTGACATGTAACAAGTGCACAAGGACATGTGACATATTACCAGTTCACATGTCATAGGCCATTGTGCATAGGTCATTGCATCAATATCATTAAATTATCTATTTTATTGGTCAGAAATGAGTTATTGATAAAAGATTAACCTAATTTATTGGTCACAAACCGTATTTAAAAACCACCATAAAATAGCCACAAAATCACAACCACCAACAATCACAATCTCTATCTCCACTACAATCACCACCCCCAACAAAAAAAAAAAAAAATACCCCTAAACCCTCAACCCACTCCACCTCAAATCCACATAGGACAGAGACCAACACCTCACCACAACAACCAACCATCACAATCACAATCTCCATCTCCATCTCCACCACAACCACAACCACAATCACTCCCCAACAAAAAAACCCAAACCCGTCGCCGTTCCAACTCAAACGTCGACTTCCAAACCAAAGCCTCCCCACCATTTATGGTCACCAATTGCAATTGACAGAACCGTCCCAGTCGTAACTTTGGGGATTGAATTTCGAGGCAATTTGATGCAGGAGGGTCCGAGTCAGATGCTGAGTTGTCGATAACACGTTAATGGCTCTAAAGTATCACGAGTTGGCAGATCAACGCAATGATAGCAAGTGATCGCGTAACTTTGGTAATTTAGTCTGGTTTCGGTAATTTGGCCATAACTTTGACTACGGTTATCAAAATAGCGATTATGACCACAATGCAGAAAGCTTGTTTCGGCACACACATTGTGGACACCCAGCCTTGCTCAGTATGTGCCGTTTTCAACCTCAAATTCCACTGTTTTCCCTTCCGAATTGCTATTTTTAATTAAATTTTGCTATTTTTGGTAATATTTCGATTGTATGTTATGAGATAATTTTTAACCCGATTTGGGCTAGATTTCTCCCAAACCACTTATTTTATTCCGTATTTTCGTTTGGCATGATTTTCGAAATTTTGCTATTTTTGGTAAAATTCGAATTTTTGCTATAAAGTCCGGCTTGTGAACTTATTTTGATTATTGCGTAATATAATAAAGTTCTATAAACTTCAAAGACGTTTTCTCTGTGTTTTCGGCGTTAATCTTGTGTTCTTTCTATGTATTTGCTGGTAAAACTAGTTTGCAGAATAATCACTATTCTGCCCAACGTCAGTTAGTATCAGAGTTTCAACATCTTCCTGGGTGAGATTTCATCAGTTTCAATGGCTGGAGGTCGTGGTCGTCGTGGGCAGGTTCCAATTGAAGAAGTCAAAACACCGTCATCGTAATATTCAGGATATCATGATTGAAGAATAGTAGAGGCAAGTTGTAGAGTTAACCCAGCGCCTAACGGCGTGCAATTTGGAGGACTGTGAGGTCTCCGATCTCAAGTTTGATTCCGCTATTTTTGAAAATCTCTACCACCAACGTGATTTATTTCGAGAGTACCGTGGTCGGGAAGAGCGTCATAGGGATCTCGATTTTCTGGTGGATCTGCCCGAATTTTCTGGTACGTTACAAGCTGAGGGATTTATCGACTAGATAAATGAAGTGGAACGTATCTTTGACTACAAGAAAGTCCCGGATCGTGTGAAAGTGAAATTGGTTGCCATCAAACTCAATGGCAAGGCGTCTGCATGGTGGAAACAATTGAGACGTTCACGGAACAGGCAAAGCAAGCCCAAGATCGCTGATTGGGAGAAGATGAAGAAAAAGATGAAGGGTCACTTTCTTCCCTTTGGTTATACTCAAACCTTATTTCAG